GGGGAAATGGGGACGGGGCGGACAGGACACCTCATGATCGACTGGTCGAGGCCTCACAATTGACTGGTCGAGGCCTCGCGATCGACTGGTCGATCACGATCGACCTGTTGGTGATCACGGCACTAGGGCATGGTAAGAGAGGGCTTCTTGTTCAAGAGCTACGCTCTTTTTTAACAGGTGTAAGCCCTCTTCACAGGAGCTCTTGCACAAGAGGGCAGTATGGACGCTCGGCAGGGATTTCTTGCACAAGAAAGCCCTATGGCTAATACAGCCATCAGAGCTTTCTTGCACAAGAGAGGGACCACACTGCCATGGGAGCTCTTGCGCAAAAGCACAGCTCGCACATGGCAGTGTGGACGTTTTCTTGTGCAAGACTTCTTGCACAGGAACCCTTGCGCAAGAAGCTGCCAGTGTAGACATAGCCTAATATTATATATAAGCTCAAAACTCATTGGTCGGCTGCATATACACACATAGTCATCAAGTTTCAAACAAATCAGTTTTACTCCTCCTACTAGACAGAACTGGTTCATAAAATCTAGAGCCTGAATGCAGCAAAACTAATGCATATGATTAGTTCTACTTACCCCACTGGCGCAAGAAGCTGCCAGTGTAGACATAGCCTAATATTATATATAAGCTCAAAACTCATTGGTCGGCTGCATATACACACATAGTCATCAAGTTTCAAACAAATCAGTTTTACTCCTCCTACTAGACAGAACTGGTTCATAAAATCTAGAGCCTGAATGCAGCAAAACTAATGCATATGATTAGTTCTACTTACCCCACTGGGAATATTTATATTCTTAAAATTAAATTACCGTATATACTCGAGTATAAGCCGAGTTTTTCAGCACAGTTTTTGTGCTGAAAAATGCCCTCCTCGGCTTATACTCGAGTCAGCCTCCTGCTCGCGGGCGGGCTCAGCGCGTCTCTGCCGCCGGCCGGGTCTAGACGTGTGAGCCCGGAGCTCCGGCCCCCCAGCCCCTGCCCTCCTGGCCCTTCCGGCCCCTGCCCTCCTGACCCTCTCAGCCCCCCTGTCCCCTCGCTCCCCGGCCGCCCCTTCACCTACCACTTCCCCGCTCAGAC